ATGGTCCCCCTTCCAGCTTTAAAATCTGCCCAAGTGCAGATACCGTCCCAGACAATAGCCCCTTTTTTGTTCCCATTAGGCACTGAACTCATCCTTACCTCACAAACTCTCCTGGATACAGATACGTGTGCATGAAGGGTCTCCTGGAATAGACCCTGTTCATGTCAAAGTAATGGTCAAGGTAGGTTCCAAGGAAGAATTAATTTCCTTCTCCCATGAAGGCTTGGGGCTGGCTGTTCCAAAGAGCCTAGCTCGCTGGGCATCAGGGTGACCTGTTCTGACAATCTAGACCCTAGGACCTCATCTAAAGTCTACTGAAGTCAATGGAAAGACTCCCATTGGCCTCACTGGCTTTAGCTTCAACTCTTAATTTCCACCTCTATCTTAATGGCAGAGAAAGCTCTCTTCTCCGGCTGGAATGACGACTCGGAAGGACCTTTCCACTAAACAGGGCAAAAGCTTTTTTTCTGGGAGGAGATTTCCCCCCTCCCCAATCAATCTCATTTTGAGGGCAGGGGCTCGGTACCTCCTCCATCTCTTCCAATCCCCCCCCCCCCGCCGAAAGGGCATCCCATTCACAGCTCTGCATTGGCAGGGCTTAGATGAGACCTTCAACCAGAATCCCTCGGGAACCTGGCTCTGGGGGCTCAGACAAGAACGAAGAATGCTTTCCCATCTTTTGCAAGCAGAAGCTGCGGCATTGGGTAATCTGAAAAGGAAAGGAAAGATGGGATGGAGCAGGCAGTAATTTCAAAGAGAATCGTTAATGCTGGGCCTATGGTCAGGCTCGTTAGCTCAGTGAAGAAGGATGTGTTTTTCAGCTACAAGTCCAGGGATTAAACCTAGAAAAGGAAGAGATCTTTCGTTTCCGAAAGTGGCTGCCAGCGCTCCAGAAGAGAGAGGCAAGGTGGAAGCCCTCCCCCCCCCACCTCCCGAAGAAACGTCAAAGGAGATGGTTCAAAAAGACAAAATGGCCACCCCATTGGAAAACACTCAGCTCAGAGCCTGCAGCTCCTGCGAGACTGGCAGCGATCAGGAGCCTAGCAAAAGGCTAATATACAGAGATGTCAAAGACTAGGACTGGTGCCAATCCTCCCCCCTTGTCTAGACCCCGGTCGGCCAAGAACGCCAAACCACTTCACAGTCAGTTGAACAAGCCTCACAGGTAGGACAGCATTAGCCTCATTCCACCGCTGGTTTGGCTGAGGCATAGGGCGATGAAGTCACTCACCCACACTGACCAAACACCTTCAGAGTACAAATCAGGCCAAGCAGCAGCCATGTTTAAAGATGGCGGCTAACAATGGAGCATAGGCCTCAGGGATGCACTCCTGTGCCTCATAAGATCCAGATTTCCACTCTAGGGGCCTGATTTTCAGAGAAGATGAGCACCTACAGATATCATGGCCTTCAGCTGGAGCTGTGGGTGCTCAGCTGCTTCTGAAAATCAGGGCCCAGGTCTTAGAGGCTTGAAAATAGCCACTGCTAGCTGATGGCAGCTGAGACGCCTCCATAACACAAGTCGGTGGTTCTACACCCAGGTCAAAATGGACAAATATCCACCTCACACAAACCACTCTTCTCTTAGCAGCAGTCTCAGCAGAGCGGCCAAGGATCAACTGGGCAACAGAGACCACGCTGAGGCAGAGGTGAGCTCCAAGTTGAGGGGGAGACACATTGGTGTGAGTTCAGGTACTGGGGAAGCTTGCCAATTATACATGGACCTTCAGCATCTCTGGTTCTCTAGTCAGCATGGGGCTCACTTCCAGTTGCACAGCAGGAGAAGAAGAAAAAATACCCTTGTTACAGTGGGGTTGATGAAGGGTGACATAACAGTGCCTGCAAATCCTGCAAACGGGGGTTCAGTATTTAGAGACACACAAGGAAAGGTGAAACTTCTTTTTCTAATGCTTTGGACAGCTCCACTGTCATGTGAAAAGTCGGAGCTTTTAAGACCTTTAGGGTGTGTAGTTTTTCTCTTGACTAACTCCCAGGGATCTGTTGTTGTTCAAAGAACAATGTTCCATTCCCCCTTTGCTGGTGTGAAGCAAATAGCTTGGAAATTAAAAACATCAGGCCCAAAACCAAAACCAACGTGGGGTGTGGGATGGAGTCGGACAACACTGGGCTGGTAAACCTGACTTCTCCCTCCATGGAAAACAAGTGAAAGGAGGTTTGTGCAGGGTAGGAAGGAGGGGTCTGTGCATTCACATGGAGAGCACTGGCAACCTCTGTGGCAGTAAAGGATCGGGAGCTAAATGCCTCAAGGAAGAAATGTTCCTTTATATATGTATATATTTAGGGCTTTGTTTGCTTCTTAGGCAGCCAGGATCAATGGAAAGTGACTTCACAGAAGAGAAATGAGGACACTGGGAGCAAGAGAAAATGGACTCATTAGGGCAGGGGGAGTTGATGAGTTTGCCTCCTCTGGAAACTTCCTCTGTGGATTGAGTTGTTTACATGGGGTTGAATTTTTCACAGGGCCAGATTTGCCAAGACTCAGCACCCACAACTGGGGTTGGACCTTCCAAAGAGCTCAGCAGCCAGTTTTTGTAAAAAGCACTCGGAGACATGTGCAGCTAAATTTTCGGAAGAGTTCAGGATCCCTGGTTGGTAACGTCCTACTAAGAAGTTTTTCCATGGAAAAGGGGCATTTTGACTCAATGGAAATGTCTGTTTTTATTGACAATTTCTGTGTTTTCATTAAAAAACCCCCCAAAAATGCTCAAAATTTCCCAGTCACCTAAAACTGCCTTGTAGAGTTGATTTGTTTTGTTACAAAAACCTGAAAAAAAAAATCAAAGAAAAATTTTGACGAAAATAAAAAAAAAATTTCATATAGAAATTGGTGCATGGTAAAAATGAAACAAAATCGTGTCCTGGCCAGCTCGAGAGCTCAGCACCCAGCCTGTGAGAAAATATGGCCCCTCACTTAGCCAATCCCACTGAGCAATACGTCATGTGGCAAGCGATCTCCGTGAGATTCGACAGGTATTTGAGACGAGCAGCACTACTCAATGAGAGCACGGCTGGCATGGTCTGATCTCTAAACAGAGGCTGAAAGCTTCTGAAAATTCTGGCCTTCATTTGTGCCCAATGGGAGGGCCAGGGGGTGCAGCAGGCATCCCTTAAGCCCAGGAGGATGGGCAAGGGCCACCCCCTCGTTATTATTTCAGGCTGAGGTTTCTAAAGGATCTTAAGCAATAGAGGGGCCCAATTTCCTTTGAAATTCAACAGGATCAGACACCTAATTCCCCTGGACTCCTTGAAAAGTCCCAGATTCAGATTAAAAGAGACCAAGGGTTCGAGCAATGCCTTAACCAATTCAGATGGAATGAGAACCAAACCTGAGATCTGGGCCTCAAACCCAAACCTGACCTTAAACCCTGGAGAAAACTGGCTGCATTGTTTTAAAGTCATTATTGTCCTTCCTCTCCCACTTTAATTCCTGCTTCGGGTAGAGGCATTAAAATATCCAGAGGGGCCATTTCCTGTGGCATCTCTGGCCCTAATTCTGAGATTTCCAGCCCAGTTTTGCTGACTCTATATGGTTCAGATGGGCACCTTCCAACAAGCACCTTCCTTCTTCCTCGCATGCTGCCCCTCCCACACGGAATCAGCTCCTTGTAAACAAAACCAACTCATTACCAGAGCCGGTCAGGAGTTGTTTGACAAAACTTTTTTTTTCCATCAGAAAATGCCAATTTGTCAAAACCAAAACTTTTTGCAGAAATGTATCAGTTTTGATGTAAATTTTGTTGGGCCCAGGATGGAATTTCTCTCTCTCGCTTTCTGGCCCAATGAATATTTAACTATTTGTATAAAATGAAAACAGGAGAGACTGAGAAAGACTGAGTCTATAGCCTGGTGACTGGGATGAGGGAGTCGGTGAGAGTCAGAGCAGGGACTTGAACCTGAGTCTCCCAATGAGATGACTGCTCTGACCATCAAGCTATTGGCTGGTGTGGGGTGGAAGAGTCTCTGTCTCTGAAAGGGCTAGTTTTTGTTCCAATCACAACAAAAAGAAATCTCAAAATCTTGACATTTTTCACAAATTGGAATTCTTGTTTCCAACAAGCCCCTACCATCCTCCTCCTTCAGGACTCTCCTTTGTCATGATACTGAAAAAAACTTGGCAATGGTCAGGCCGCAGACAAAGACTATGGCCTGTCTCCCTGACCAACACCGTCTCATTGTTTCCTTGTATGCCCCTATCAGTCTGTCTTCGTCTGTTGTTGCTTGGTTCATATTTAGATTGTAAGTTTTTTGGGCAGGGACGGTCTTTTTGTTCAGGTATTTGTAAAGTGCCGAGCACAATGGGATCCAGATCCAGGACTAGGGCTTGTAGGCACCATGATAACACAAATAATAACGAGTTCTCCCAGATGACATTCACCCCTAGACAGAAGGCTGGCACAAGGCCTAGATCCCTTAATTCCCATTGACACTCATGGCTGGGTCTCCCAGAATCCTGCTCCCCCATCCAGGTCCAACTCCTGTCTCCATAGGCTAAACTCCTGCCCCCACTGCTTATTTGCTATCATTCTATGGCAGAGAGGGGCCTGAAAACCAAGATCCCAGAGCCAAATGGCCACTGCACAGAGTCCCCAGAGAGTCGCAGGTGTTTGACGGGGATTCCTCACTTCCATCACCCATCCAAGAGTTTCCTCTGATTATCATCCATTGCTTTGTACCCCCCTCCCCCTCCCAGGTCTTCTCCTGCTCTCCTCTGCCCCTCAACCCAGGGCTGCTTATACCCAGGAGATTGCTGATACAACCTGAAACTCAGGGATCTGTCTTGTCTGCCCTTTTCCGCACTGCAGAAACTCACCCTCCCTAACATCACCAGGAATCATGAGGTGTTTGTGCTGCATCCACTGGCTCTACGTGTCTGGGCAATTCCTGGGGGTTTAGGGATGAGTGGAAGGGACTCATCTGGGGCAGGTGTGAGTGTGTGCGTGGGGTAGGGCAGTAACAGTGCAAGAAAAGCTGAGGCTTACCTTCTGCAAGAGACAGCCAAGGGGCTCTTGCGTCCATGTGGGCAGTAAGGTAGCTCCTTCCCTTCTGGATCCCCCAGATTTTCATCTTTGCAAAAGATTATATAGCCAAGCCAGCCAATCGTCTAGAGCCACTCAAAGCATTGCAGGTGGAAGACAATGACATTAATCTCTTCCTGACCAGGCAATTCCTCATAGGCTGGAAAAGTCCAGCCCACCTTAGGCCTGGGGCAGCGTAACCTGCCTCTGTTGAGCCCTCGCTGTCTCTAGGCAGATCCTGGGCCAAGTTGCTGTTTGTTTTCTCCTGTCCCTGATTGATGCCTGTGGAAAGTTTGCATCTTGCCCGTGTGTTGCAGGCACAGACGCATCTAGGTAGTTCTTACATGCCGTGCTGTAGGTCACAATCCAGCTTAGAGAACAGAACCCTGTCGGCTATGTTAAATTCAAAGCCTGCATGTTGCAATGTTCTTTATTTCGCCCCTGAACTAGGCATGCTTCTTTCCATCCCTCTTCTCTGGCTGGGACTGCTGCAGAACAGCATCCCTCGGAGTTGGCGGTGGTTTGGTTTTCTTCCTCTTCTGCAAAAGGCTAAAGAAAAACAAACAAATAAATAAAGAGATGGTTAAACAATGTCTTGGTAGAAGGTGAGAAGTAAGCTATGTCTTCAGACATTATCCAGATTACAGCCCCATTGTGCTGGGCTCTGTAGAAACAAAGTCCCTGCCCTGAAGAATTTACAATGTAAGGAGATGGGACAGACAGTGAGTCCTGATCTCCTATTTTACAGCTGGGGAAATGAGGCACAGATCCAGTAAGTGACTTACCCCAGGTCACAAAGGGAATCTGCGGCACAGCCAAAAACTGAAGCAGTTCTCCCAAGTCCAGTATCTTACCCACAAGACTATTTCCAAACAACACAATAAAGCTGACCCGAAGACGAGTTCTGTGTCGCTCCACGGCTTGTACCTTCCCCCAGCAGAAGGTGGTCCAACAAAAGATATTAACTGACCCACCGCGTCTCTCACAGTGAATATAGGACATTTACATCGCACCTCGTCTCCAAAAAGATCCCAAAGGGATTTTCAGTCTTAGCAAAAAGATATAGGTATCTTAATTCGCCCACCCCTGAAAAGCAGAGATGTGTTTAACAATGCGCAGCAACCCTAGATAATACCTTAGCTCAGGAAGTAAAGAATACTGCATCCAGCTGAAACGACATGCAAATCTGAGAAGTGGAATTTGGCCAGGACACTGGGATTAACATACACTCCTGGTCCTGTGGGGGGAGGTGAGGTGACTTGCCTCAGGTTGCAAAGCAGGCCAGCGGCGGAGTCAAGAATAGAACCCAGGTGTCCTGACTCCTAGCCCAGTGTCCGATCCACTAGATAACAGCTCTGCCTCTCACCTAGTTCCAGATTCCTGCTATCAAACTGATATCACACTTTACAGCATCAGGATGCTTCCTTGCAAGGTCTCCTAACCCCCACTGGAGGCAGCTGAGCTACCTTGATACTGCGGACCCTGATTTTGCCCATCAGGTCAAGATGTCTTGCAGATTTCCCCCTGCTCCCACAAGCCTCAGGCAGCCAAACTCCAACCCTGGTGTCTAGTTTCATAAAAATTAAAAGAGTCACCCAAGCTTTGCAATGAGCCCCATCAGGTTCTCTGGGTTAGGCCTTGGCAGAATAAAAAAAAAATGTCTCCAGCATACATTGCCACCTAAAACTTATACAACAAGCAGCCAAATGTGGGGAAATCATGGCAATAGGGGAATTATTGGACAAGCGTAGGCCCTTTCTTGCGAAAGCAAAATGGATGGGGAGTCAGATACCTGATGTTCCTTTTCTCAGATCAATGGATCATACTTCGGTTACCCACCCTATTAAATATGTGGCTTTGATTGTTTTGCTAAATCCCAAGCTGCTCATAGGGTAACATCTGACCCTGAGCATAGACCATCTCCTCTAAGGTACAATGCTGCTGGTCTTTATATAGATTGTGTGTGGGGGGGTGTCACATTATAACACTCCCTGCCTGGAAACAAGACTGGAGAAGAGAGAGTTATGGATGGGGGCTTTTCCCACATCTGCTGTACTTATTAACAGAGAGAGACTTTGGAACAGGGCTTCCATTTGGCCCATTCATTTCAAGAGGCAGGCAGAGGCTGGATTTTGAGGAGAGTTCTCTGGGGAATTCTTCACGAGTGTCGCTCCGTGGCAGTGATGTCAGAGACTAGGGAAGCTCAAATGACAGTTTGACAACGAGACGAGATTCTAGCCAGGTTCCAGCACTCGGGGACCACTGGGCTTGAGGTTACATTTCCAGATTGCAAACAGATTCCTCTTTCCAACTTTTGCAATTTATAGGTTTCCACCACTTCTACCCCTGCAAAATCAGAGGCTGTTGTCCTTGGGACTCAGTTGGCATTTGCTTCCGAGGTGGTCTCTCCCTCGGAAACTCAGAACCCCACTATTTACTCTGCAGCACAAGCAGCCAGTGAACTGGGGGAATGCACCCCAAAGTTCTGTGTCTACCAGCCTGCGGTGGGCTTTTCCCACCCCCCTTCTCCCATTCACTCCTTTTATGTAAATGGGAGTGGGGGAAGACTTGAGAGAATAAAACATGAGCTCCCCAGAGATCAAAGAGCCCAAGCAGACATTCCCTGCTCCTGAGCCCGCAGCAAAAGGAAGCTGTGAGGAGCTGGTGGGCCTGATTCTGATCTCATTTACACTGGTTCAAATCAAGGGTATAACTCCAATGACCTCAAGGGAGTTCCACCAGCATAAGATCCGAACATGGGAACTGAGCAGAGCAACGCTGAAGTACTGTTAAAATGCTGGGATGAGGCACTTTTTAAGATCTTGGCCAAATGATTTGGTTTTCTCTAGCTCCTTTCCCCTGAGGATCTCAAAGCACTTTACAAAGCCAGGCCATTGAGCCGGACACCCTCCCCAGGTCAGTATAACCATCCTCATTTGACAGAGGGAGAAGCTGAGACACACAGAGGGGAAGTGATTGCTCCAGGTCAGGGCCAGAGCTGGGCCTAGAACCCATGAGTCAGAGGGGCCCAATCCCTCTGCTTAGCTCCTAGACTATAGACTCATAGGATGGGAAGGGACCTTGAGAGGTCTTTTAGTCAGTCTCCTGCACTCAAGGCAGGACTAAATATTACCTAGACCATCCCTGACAGGTGTTTGTCTAACCTGCTCTTTAAAATCTCCAGTGACGAAGATTCCACAACCTCCCTAGGCAATTTATTCCAGTGCTTAACCACCCTGGCAGAAATTTTTTCCTAATGTCCACCCTAAACCGCCGTTGCTGCAATTTAAGCCCATTGCGTCTTGTTCTCTCCTCAGAGGTTAAAGAGAACAATTTCTTTCCCTCCTCCTTGTAACAACCTTTTATGTACTTGAAAACTGTTACCATGTCTCTTTTCCGGACTAAACAAACCCAGTTTTTTCAATCTGCCCCTCATAGGTCATGTATTCTAGACCTTTTGTTGCTCTTCTCTGGATTTTCTCCAATGTATCCACATCCCTCCCCAAGTGTTTTGCCCAGAACTGGACACAATACTCCAGTTATCAGAGGGGTAGCCGTGTTAGTCTGTATCCACAAAAACAACGAGGAGTCCGGTGGCACCTTAAAGACTAACAGATTTATTTGGGCATAAGCTTCCGTGGGTAAAAAACCCACTCAAGGTGCCAGTACTCCAGTTGAAGCCTAATAGGCGTGGAGTAGAGTGGAAGAATTATGGCTTGTGTCTTGTTTACAACACTCCTGCTAATATCATCCCTCCTGATTTAATCAATATCCTAACCCATCCCCTCCTGCTTCCCCTGGCCAATAGCATCTGCCACAGGTACCAAGAAGGCCTGCCTGATGGTGATGAGTTTAGAATAACACATGATGGAACTGTCATGGCCCTTCACCATGATCCCTCTAACAGGAAGGTTTTGCTCCTTCCTCTTGCAAGAAGGCTAGAAAAAACCAGGTTGCAAAGGAATTATCTGGGTCTGAAGAAGGCAATTTTGGCTGCCATGGGTTGGTACCATCGTGGACAGGCTGCCGAGGGCATCCAAGCAGGCTAGAGCAGAGGGGGAGGAGGGAAGGTGGGTGCTGAGAAGATGGAGGACTCAGACACAATGGTCCCATTCATTGGGCCAGAGACATGGGCTTCAGCCCTTCCTGATCAGACACAATAGGGGCTTCTCCGCTTGCCACTTGTGTGCATTGTCAGCAGGCAGCCGGCCCACACCCCTCCTTTCCGTCCCCCATTGGATAATGGCACTGCATTGTGTGCTTGGCTGGACAAGGACTTTGTTTAGGAGAAAAACTGTGTTTGTCTGTCAGGAGAGATCAGGCAAGAAAGAGAGAGGGAGGGGCCGGGGCTGGCTCCCAACACTACCCCCCTCAGCACTGGCCTTCTAAGGCCCCAAACCTATCTATAAATATTCAAAGCACTGCAGAGGGAAACTCCTCTTTGGGAACGCTCCCCCTGCTTTGTAAATTACAAGGAGCCCTACAGACAGACCCATCTGAACTCCCGTTCCCCTTCGTTCACATCCCCCAGCAGCCATTCCCCCCCCCCCCCCCGCCAACCCTGGGCAAACATTAAGGCCAGAAGAGACCGTCCTGAATAGAAAATAGACATGCTGAGGGCAGGAGCGTCCGGGTCTGACTCCCCATTGCTCTGCTCCTCGCCTAGTCAGCTGCACCAGTGCAAAGGTGGTGGTGATGGGCAGTGAACTGGCGTGAACGGTGCAGGGCCATGGACATGGCTACCGGCCGCGCGTCTGTTCCAGAGGCAAACGGCCCTCGGTGTGTATTTACCTCCGTGTTTCCAGGAAATGCTGGAACAAGGTAAAATTAACTGCCCACGGCACCAAAGCATGCGGAGAGCCGCTGCCCACCTCGGTGGTGATGAGCTGAGAGGATGGGTCCTTAGCTCTTCTGCTGCTGCCCAGCTTTCCCTTTTCCAGGGTCTGCTGCTGCCTTTCCTTGAGAACCTCATCTGATCGGAGAGACTGATGGGGGATTAAGTCTCCCTGCAACATTGCTCCGATTGTAACAACGTCCAGCCTGTGGGGAAAGGCGGGTAAAAAAAACCCCTTCCTGACAGTCCTAGCGAGAGCCACAAACAGCAGGATTAATGGGAAACAGGCATTAATTTAGACATCCGTAGCTGAGTTCCTTTTATTCCCCCTTCCCCAGCACTTCTCTGAAAGCATCAACCCGCTAAAAGAAGCAGGAGCCTAACTGGCTGCCTCGAGCCTCCCTTCACCAGGGCCTGGGGCTTGCCAGGGAGAAGCTGCTCGCAGAGCCAGCTATGGCATTACTTCTCTTTTTAAAAGTTAGCCAGGGAAATTCCAGAGCTGGGTGTCTCAGCAGTGGCTGTAGCTGCTCCTGAAGGGGACATAGGGGGTTTGCCTTGGTCTACTCACCTCCCATGTCCACAGACTTCTCTCGCAGGACCTACGCTCACGGCGAGAACCACTGTAAGCTCTTTGAGCTGCGCCTTACTATGTGCTTGTACCATGCCTGGCACACCAGGGACGCAAGCTGGCAAGGGCTCCCGGCACGGTCGCCTC